ACTCAGGCCACAAAATGACTAAATACGAGTTGCTCATGTTCCCCGAAGATTAAACCCATGCAACAGCCAACCCTAGCCTCAACATTTCGTAGGCTCCAGGGCAAACTGAGGATGGTGCATATCAAATTCGTTCCATTCATCACTAATCAGCGGAATGTACTCAATTACTCTGTCATACTATACGTTTCTCCTTGGTGCCATCTCATGTCCTGCAGCAGTCTTTCTGACATGTACAATCTTTAGGCCAATCCTTGGTGTTTAATGGGAAGTACCGCAACACACCTTACTGGGAGAGAATCTTCTTACCCACCCTGGCCAACGTAAATTGATCTTGTTAGGTCTGGATGCTTTAAACATTTTGAGACATTTATCTAAGCTCTTGCATTTTCCTTCCAAAATAGTACACAATCATTTATACAAGCTCAAATTAACACTCATAATGACAAGCCCAAGTAATAAACAGAAGATTATCTCTTAGCTTCTCATAAAATGACTTTGGACGCCAAAATTATCTATTTGGTAAAAGTTTGGTTAAAAACTGCCATATAGTGTGTTAAAGCCGACTTATTGCTCCAGTGGTTTGTTTACCTTCATATTAAGCAGCTCGATGACAAACTTAACAGAGTGTAGTTTGTGCAACCTAAGTACACCTCACGTTTGGCATCATTTAATAGTTTTCAAACGTTTTGTACTTCCTCATTTGGGGTGCATCGTTGGGTTCTCCTCTTTATTCGATCTTCCACAAGCATCAATACAACCTAAAACCTCATCTTCATCATATTGCCATTTTCATGATGAGCCTCATTTGATACACGTGTTCCCCGTGCTCATGCCAAATAGTGTACGTTTGCATAATCCCATATTGAAGCAAATGAAATTTGCACCATTTTGAAGATTTGGAATAATAGTTCACACCGTTCAAACATGGGCAGAATTTTACTTCCTGGTCAACAACTGCCATTACAAATTTGATAAAATGATGTCACTCCAATCAATAAATGGCTGACCTCATCCTTCCATCAGGTTGTCTTACCAATGCATCAACACTCTTGTCCATGTCTGATCACAAATAAAGAAAGATCAAGTTTTTTTTAGTGTTGTTTATGTCATAAAAACGCATCATGTGTACTATTAACCTATTCCATTTAGGAATGCACAATGTGTATCATACAAAGAAAATCAGTATGACGTTGTCTATCTCTAATCTTTCCTTAGTTCTCCCAATTGTATATAACATAGATTGAGATAGAACATATTTAAGTAGTAAAGTTGGCAAAGTACAATGTAGACTAATGTTTTTCAAATTTGTTTGAATTTGGCCAAAATAGAACAGATTATGAACCAGTACATCCAACAGATTATGTACCAGACACTGAGAGCAGCACTGCTGTCAAAATCCTTGATCAAAGTAATATCAATTGCTTTCACTGCTCATGACTAGTTCTCTCTAAATTACAATACCTTGATAAAAAATTTGCAACAAATTTAGAGGAGTTCATTTCCATTCTGATCAACTAGCATATCACCTGTGGGCTATGCACAGATTATGTTTTACAATTATTAATAATGTGAACTAGTGTAACCTCACATAATTGCATGGTTAGTCAAGAATGAAACAACCTTCAAATTTGGAGTAGATAACAGGGATTCTTGAGCAGCATGTGATTTTAATCAGTATGAGTAGATGGGAGTATTTGGAAGGATAGAGTAGAAAAAAAAAATGGTTTCTGACAAGTTTACAACATCTAGTACATTAAAAGGATAAAAGAAAATTTCCTCATTTAGGAAACCAGTTATTTTTGAAGAATAAAAAGAATCTTAGTTGATTGACTGTTTATAGAGGCAATATTGATTATGGTGTTGTACTGTGGCTTCAGATTCTCTAAATACGATATATTGGAAAAGAAGATAATCGGGCACAATATTTATTGTTCTTCCTTTCATTTCTTCTATTTTTTATTTTTATTGCCTTCGTTTTAAAGAGAAGGTGAACTTAGAGTTACTAATTCTTTCCTCTATCCATCCATTAAGTTTTTAGAGAGATCTTTGTACACACTACTTAACTTATCATGTAACAGCATCACACTGTATGTTCTTTAGTAACTCTAAGTTCAAACCCAAGCCATGGAATTATTTATCTTCACTTTAACTTGTTACACTAACAACCACATGTTCTCTACCTTTTGTCGTCTTCCATGGTAATTTTCTAATTTTTCTCTATATTTTTTCATCATTTTTTATTATGTAGTCATTAGGTAGCTACTTTGTCCTTTGTTAGTGCTCTACTCCCACTATGCTCAATTTGGTTCAATTAATTTACTGTTTGATGTTTAAGTGCTTTTACCAAGTTGGTTTGTGGAATGTAACAGTTTGGTTGTTTTGGATTGTGGCTTTATGAAATTTTCTAGACCCTTATTTGTTGTGCTAAAAGCTTAAATTTTTAGGACTATTAGCATTAATACGAACACGGAAATTGCTTTCAAGTCACTACTTAATTCATGACCTGTTTGGTAATGTTGTGTGTTTAAGGTTGGTTGGTTGTTCTCAAATTTTGTCTTCCTTAAGTTAGTGATTTTTGTTATTTTTGTCATTTTTTGTTATATTGAGCATATGTGCATATGTGCATTTTCTTAATTTGAGCATATGTTCATAATTTGACAAAAATGGATCAGAGAAGATAAAGATCACCACTCCTAGGCCCAATGTTGAAATAGAAGTTGAGATTAGATTTTTCATTTCCCCCTGTTTTTGTCCCATGGCCATCTCTATATTTGATACCACATATAAGTTAGTTTTGCAACATCCTCCTCCTCTCAAATCTGTTATGATGTTGCATTTGTTTGTCATACAACCTATTTGGGGTGAGGATGGGTAAAGTATGATGGGACATTTTTAGGTTTGGGGTGGGAGTGTAAAGTTGATCCGGATCTTTTTTCTTTCTTAGATTTTTTGGATGATGTAATTGGTTAGGCGAGTTTTGTTTCCTTCTATTGGTTGTTTTGTTTTAGTTGCATCATCTTTATGCTTTCTCTGTAAAATTTATTATTTATCAAAAAAATATCTCGTCGTCACTTTGTTGATGCTGGTGCTCGTCCATCTTGCCTTTTTTGTGCATTGATTGCATGCAACCCCTGACTATCGCTATTATCCTCTTTTGTCAGTTGGGCCGTTTGTTTCAAATGCTTGAAGGTCTTGGTACACAGATAGAGAAAGATGTATTGTTGGATAAGTATAGGAAGCCTGTATTGAATTCTGTATTTATGGAGGAATGGTCTAGTCTTACAAAGAATTTTTTGAAGGCTCTTCCTTACTCTCTTACTTCAAGTCAGTTAACTGCTGTTTCAGAGATTATTTGGGATCTCAAGCGGCCAGTTCCCATGAATCGACTTTTGCAGGTATTGGATTTATATTTTTTCCCCTTAACATACTGTTGTTCTTTAATTTGTATCTCATATCTAATCAATTGTTGTTCTTTAATTTATATCCTCCTTGCTTGTCCATGTGAGAGAGGGAGGGTGTTAGATAACTTGATATATATTGGACATTTCCTAACAACTTAAAATTTTGAGAGAATTGGTAATCTAAGACAGTGAACTTATATTCATCCTAATTTCTTTACCCCATTTAGCATAGACACATTCACATAACTAGGCACCCACACCCACCCATTTGTCACCCTACCCCACACACACATGCACACGAACTCATTCATAGAGAGAAGTCAACTATACAACATTGTTACACCATCGGTTTGGGTAAAATCCTTGCAACTACTTCGACCTTATATGTCTCTACCATATCATATATTCTTTATTTGATGGATAAGACATAGGGGGATTTGGTTGGAAAGAGATGTAAGATTTATTTTGTCACTTACCCAAAAACAATTTATTATTTGTCTTCCTTTTAGCCTTCAGTGACATCTTCTTTTAAGGGAATCTCTTTGTTTTGATTATCTCAATCGTTTTTTTCTCAGGGAGATGTTGGTTGTGGGAAGACTGTGGTAGCTTTTTTGGCATGTATGGAGGTTATTGGTGCAGGTTATCAGGTAGGCCATGTAAAGTTTTCATTATTGATATTGGATAGTAGTGATTGACTTCAATTATGAGATTTCAGAGTCTAATTTGTTTGTTTGATAATTGATTTCTCAGCATGGTGTTTAGTCTCAACATTTGCTCCATACGTAATCTTACAGAATTAAAAGTGATTGTTAGATTACTTTGTTTATTTGTAGGCAGCTTTCATGGTTCCAACTGAGTTGCTTGCTGTCCAGCACTATGAGCACTTTCTTAATTTGCTAGAGAATATGGAGCATGTTGATTGTAAACCTTCTGTCGCTTTGCTAACGGGCTCAACCCCATCGAAACAATCACGGCTCGTTCGTGAGGCATGTATTGTAATGTGGCAGTTATGAATAGTAGATTATGACATTTTAAAGATTTTTATCTTTTCTATTATTGGTTGGCAGGGTCTCCAGAGTGGAGATATCTCATTGGTCATTGGTACCCACAGTCTAATAGCAGAAAAGGTGGAATTCTCAGCTTTACGCATTGCAGTGGTAGACGAGCAACATCGTTTTGGTGTATGAACAAAACAGAGCATCACATATTATATATTCTTTCCTAGGTAAACAAGCAATCTCTATCATCTCTCTCCACTGATTCATCTTCTTCTTTCTCTCTCTCTCTCACTGATTCAGCAATTGGGTTTCTCTCAATCCCACTTCCCTCTTCCATATTTTTACTCCATGACTGCACCACCATTTGTTGCCGAATCAAAAACTTGTCGACTTGAATCTGCATTGCCATTCGCTCCATGCTTCTACGATTCATATTTTTGCTTCCTTTATCTTCTTTCTTCCTCTTTGCTATTTGATTTTTCATGGTGCATTCTCTCATACTGTATTTTATATATATTTAATCTTTTCCAAATCATTGTATATATTTGTCAAATCTTTTCTAAATCCCAAAACCGTAACAATCGCACTGAATCGCACCAAACCGTATAGACCAGTTTGGTGCGGTTTATATGTGTATCTCGGTCTGTTCGGTTCACATAATTACAAAACCGAATAAATCGGTTCGGCCCAAAACTGGGAAAAAAATCGGCCAAATGGTGAACAATGAATATACTAACTCTACAAGCAGAATGAAATAGATATCAAGCAGAATGAAAAAACAAAATTGCAGATTCATTGTACATGTTGATAAACCAAAAAACTCTACAATGAACAATGAACAAGCAGAATGAAAGGGTACCGTGAGAGCCTCTTCCAGTCAGATTGTGGAAGAATGCTTCAGCAAAGAGCTGATCCCTCAGCCGTGGGTTGCAACAGTAAGCACACCAGAGGAAGAGCAGAGGAAGTTTGATGGTCTTGAAGATCACAGCCTTTCAACTTGATGGTCTTGACACAGCCTTTCAACTTCTCAGCCGATCCCTCACAATTGTTTTTTGAGGAATTTTTTTTTGGTCTACAAATTTTCAACTTCTCAGCCTTTCATCTTCTCAGCTTTCAATGTGTTTAAGTTAGATATTCTTATTCTTTATTTTAATTTCTTTAATTGACAATCAACTTCTCAGCTTTCAATTTTATTTGGTTTCATTTTTTGAAAATGATTTGGAGTTATTTTTTTTTTTAGATACACTTAATTTAAATATACTTAATTATCTTTTTTTTGAGTCACATTATATATCTATTTTTCTATACATATTTTTGTAAAAGTAAAAAAGTATAGTTATTTAGCACTTCCGAAACTACCAGTAAGTTGATATTAAAAAAATTTCCTTTTTATAATGGCATAAATAATTTATATATGATTTTTTTGAAATTATTTTTAATTTAATAAAATATTAAATAGAATAAAAACAAATTTCTTACAAAATAAAAGTATTTGAATAAAAAAAGGTAAGAAATTTAAAATTTAAATATGGTATTTTCATTTAATCTGAAAATAATTCTAGATGAACAATAAATTATCACCTATAACCCTTTTTTTTATAAATAAAAAAGTTTAACAAACTAAAAAAATCAACATTTCTTTCTAATTTATTTTAGCAAAACTATCTTTTTAACAATTTGAGCCAAAGATATTCTTATTCTTTATTTTAATTTTTTTAATTGACAATTGAAATTAAAAAAAAAACAAAAACAAAATCCACCATGTTTGGTAAGTACTAAAAAAGTTATGTTTTGTTCTTTTGTGAAAAAAAAAAATTATATTAAAAAATATTATTGTTCAAGTCCTTATAGTTTAGAAGGACATAATTTTTTTTTATAAAATTTAAAACCATAAAAAAGAAAAAAATTTAATAGCGATTAATAATTTGAACGCGTGTATTTAAAACAACTTATATTTAGACCAATAATATTATGATACATTATTATGACACGTGTGAATATTGATCTCATTCTAATTGTAGTAATATATTTTGAAGAAGAATTTAAATTTAAAATTTTATTGTATAATTTAATAAAAGATGCAAAATTTTATCACAGTTAAATTTTTTATGCAAATTATGAAAACAAAAAAGATTGAAATTAAAATTTAAGTCTCACAATTTTTTCACAATTTATTTATTATTTTTTTAATTTATCACAAATTTATTCATGTAACTTTAAACCCCCCTTGCTAGAATTGCAAACTTAGGTGAGCTCAACCCAAGCACCTTGAGCCGAGCTTAAAATTTTTTAAAGATTGAATAACATAGTTTTTAATTAAGTGAGAACCTATGTAGAAATTCAAAAATTCAAATTAAATTTGAGTGGATTTGGGCAGAACCACCAAATAACTTGAGCAACCAAAACGAAATTATATATATAAATATATGAATTATTTGCTAATTTATTTTTTAAAATAATAAATTAGATTAATTAAAAATTTAATATTAACGAATAAAAGAAAAAGCAATATACTTGAGATTTCCAATAGAATTTTTATTGAAAATATACCTTATAGAAAGGGATCATCCAACAAAAGGTTGTTTGAAAAGTGTCATATTAGCTCACTTTTTTTTTATAATCTTTTTATCTTTTTTTGGTTACATCACATCTCTACTTTTCAACACAGCATTTCGTAAAAAGTAAAAAAAATATATACTTAATTATCTTTTTGTGTCACATTATATCTCTACTTTTCTATACATATTTTTTATAAAAAGTAAAAAAGTATGCTTATTTGATCACTTTCCCAAACTACCACTAAGTTGATGTTAAAAAAATTTACTTTTTATAATGGCATACATAATTTTAAAATATGATTTTTTAGAAATTCTTTTTAATTTAAAATTACAAAAAAATAATTAAATAGAATAAAACAAATTTCTTACAAAATAAAAGTATTTGAAAAAAAAAAAAGGTAAGGAGGAAATTTAATAATTTGAACACATCGTATTTAACATAAATTATTTTTAGACCAATAATATTATGAACACGTGTAAATATTGAACTCATTCTAATCGTAGTTTAATAATTTGAAGAAGATTCACATTTGAAATTTTATTTTATAATTTAATAAAGGATTCAAAATTTAGGAATGAATATGATCTCATTCCAATTATAGTAATACATAATTTAGTAAAAATCCAAATCTGAAATTTTTTTTCAGAATATAAATTAATTTAGATAAACCAACCATATTGTAACACGTATTAACAAAAAATTAAACAAAATAAAAAAAAATGAAAAAAAAAATTACAACTTTCAACCTTAATGAAATGACAATATTTTGAAATTATAATGAGTATATAGATAAATATGGTAATATATCATTATTTTAAACTTATGTATTGTGGGATAAATGATTATAATTTAAATTTAAAATTAATAAAATACTTTCCATATTTAGTGCCCCTCAAATTTGAATTTTGAAATGGATTGGTGTACTTTCTATTTTTTATTTTATATATTTGATATACTTTCCATTTGAAAGTCATAAATTATGGAGATATTAATTAATTAATTAATATTATTATTTATTATTTTGCTTGAATGAAAGCTATAGAGGATTTTTTTATTATTTAAATCAAAAAATTAGAAATTTTTAGTTTGAAATATTGAAACTCCCACAAGACTTGTGTTATAATACCCTATTTTACACTATATACATAAACTTCTAATACTATAATATTAAAGTAAAAGGGGATTTTAACCCCAAAGCCTTTTGAGAGCTCCAATCTCTCCAATATAATTTTCTGATTTTACTGGATATTTAAAAAAAAAAACCTTAATATTTATTAACTATCTTCCCCAAACCCTGTAAGGTCTTTACACCTCACATTAATAACACTAATAGCACATTAAGACATAAAATATAAAAAAAAAAAAATCTTTGAAATCCCAAAAAGGCTGTGGTGGGGAAGAAGTCAACAATACTCATTTGGCTTTTTTTAAAAAATTAAACATAAAATTTTAAAATAAATGGTTTACAAGCAAGATTCATTTATAAATCATTAGATTGTCTATTAGAGGTGTTGAAAAGTGCGGAATATTGCACAGTGTAATTTTCGATGATGAAACTATAAGAAGGATTTTTGATTAGTATTTTTAAACATCAAAAAAAATTAGAAATTTTTAGTTTGAGATATTGAAAACAAGACTTGTGGTTATATCAACCCCATTTTACTTTTATATACTAGCATATCACCCGTGCTATGCACGGATTGTATTACAATTATTATATATGTTGAAATTTGATTTTTAAGTGTCGTTTTTTCATCATGTAAATGTTTTTTTTCTCTTTCATTATTACTATATGATTAAAGTTAATAATTATTGATAATAATTCACCATGTGTGTAGGACTTTTAAAGTAATATAAATGTTTTTTTTAATATGAATATTATATATAAAGTTAAATTCTTGATAATATTATCAATTAATGTCATGACTTTTCAAGAACTTTTTTTCTATACTTGTGTTTTAAGCCATATAAATGTATTTATGACGAGGAATAATACATATGTGTGAGACTTTTCAAGGGAATCATGTGTTGGAATTTCAAAATAATTTTTTATTATTTAAGTTATTTCTTAATGCATTAAATGTGTTATTATGAGAGGTAAGGACTTTGAGGGTTGGGATGGAAAGTTAATAATATGTTAGAGTTTTTTTTTCTTAATCAAAAAATCTAAGAATATTCTAGATTGGGAGATTTGCGAGCTCTAACAAGCTTGGGGTTAATAATACCCCTTTTGCTATTGTAGATGTAAATTATAATAAGAATTTAGACATATATTCATTAGATCATTCGTATTTAGACTATCTTTTGTAATATAACAAATTCATTTTTTTATTAAAATAAATTTAACAATCCCATCACTAGGCGAATAGGTTGCTAAGGAGTAGGTATGACGATAATAGTCTAATGAACAAGTGAGAGAAGTACAATAAATGCTGAGTTCTTTTTTCTTAAATCAATTTTAAAACAAGTCTAGATCTGGATAGGAGCTCCACAAGGCTTTGGTAAGACCTAAAAAACTTCCCATATTTTCTTATAATAACACTGCCAAACACCCGTGCTATGCACGGGAGAATAATGTAATATGATATTATTTTTATTTATTTTATATTTTTTTAAATATATATTAATGT